ATTTAGAACTAGACAATAAGTTTTTTATGCCTAGCAATAATTTGAGAATTGTGGCGTACCGGACGTTTAGGTTCAAACCCTATCCAGTAGAGGGCGACATTAGGTAATACAGTGATCCCTTGCTATAACGCGGTTTACTTTTCACGGTTTCGCTACTTCACGGATTTGCATCGTGCATTGTGTTCTGCATTCTGATTGGCTAAAAAGTCACTCCGCTTCTTCTCTACCTGTGCGCCAATAACGTTGCGGTTTAATATGTACACGTACGTAAAACAGCTTGCCAAATTGACATTACGTACGTGCAAATTCTCTTGCGATTTCGAGTTTATCAAACCCCATAATGTCGACAAAACGCGCTGGACCGGCAAAAGTACCTGCGGTAGGGACCAAAAGGCAGCGGAAGATGCTGTCTATCGGTGATAAAGTAAAACTATTGGACATGCTAAATGAAGGTAAAAGCTATGCGGCTGTAGGTCGGCATTATGGAATTAATGAATCTTCCGTTCGTTCCATTAAGAAGGAAGAAAAAAACATAAGGAAGACAGCAGCAATAAGTTTTAATAAGGATTCAAAAAGGGTTGCAACTGCCCGCAACAAGACCAGGTAATTTGTATTTTTTTCATAATCATTTTTAATTAATTATTAAAAAAAAGTATTATTTGACAGTACATTACAGAAGTTATTTGTTGAAACGTTTCTAAAGTACTTTTATTTTACTTTATGTGTGAAACAAATGGCTGAGACTGTAAAATGGTTTGTTCGTTCTTTCACTTCTTTTTCTGAGTATTTAATTGTAAAAAAAATAAAGATTTCTACTTCACGGATTTAGCCTATCACGGGTTCTTTTTGGAACGTAACCCCCGCGAAAAACAAGGGTTTACTGTAATGAGAAAACTTTCAACAAAGAATAGAGGGATATATGAAAATACAAAGAAAATGAGGTGAACAAAAAAAAATATTTTTCTACCAATTGTTGTTTTTGTTTTCTACTATATTTATTCCCGGTTCAGTGGTATTTATAACACCACTTCAAATTTTACGAAGAAGGTAACTCTGTATTGCTTTATTTACTAATAGTCGGTGATGGATAGTTAGTTTTATTTGTTTGTTTTCTTTTGTCCATGGAGAAACATAGCATTGTTTGTAGCGGCCATCTTGTTTTCTGATTTTGGCGTCATGAGCGGGTGAATGATAGGGGTTTTTTTATGTAACGAATTAGTCTGGTTGGGACTTTTTTTTACCAATATTTTGTCAAATATCTACAATTTACATCGTTATAAAAGCTATTTGGTACCATTGTAAATTATTGTTTACTGTTCTTTTGTTTTGCTGACTCTCTTGACTTTGCTGACCACACAGTTCTGTGTCAATCAGAGTCAGGGACACATTATCTCATCTGAAAGCCCTTCAAGTCCGTTCCCATGTTCATTTTTATCAGAGAAATCTGACTATTTTTCTGTATATGAAATAGCAGCAACACATTTCAATACAATACAATTTTCTGTATGTTTTTATTTGTCAAACAGCACAATTTATTTCTGTTGTAAATCCATTCAAGAGTATCTCTTGACATAAATGGTTTAAGGTGGAGTTATAAAGGACAAGCAAGGACAAAAATACATGATTGTGTTGTTTGTATTTCCTACTTAACGTAATTTAGGCCTAAAGGTCTAAATCTGTCAAGAGTATTTTAGGAATAAACATCTGTATTCTTACGTTGCAGTAGCGCTCTAAATGTGCAGCCACAGCACCCTCTTTTGGCCAAAGGGTTACACTACACAGAATAATATCGAATACAGTTCCATACGTGAATACCAGAGTAAATCTAGAGGTGAAATGTATATTTTTGGTAGAAATTTCACTGCGGGAGGATCAGACCACTTGAGGATTAAACATACGTCAAGGGTAAACAAAGACGTTCACACCACTGCACATGACATGCTATGATGTATGATTTTTGAGAGGAGTGGTAAGATAGTAGAAGATGATCAGCTGAGGCAATCTATGAAGAAGGCAACCAAAATGTGCTTAGTTGATGCAGCTGGTGTTGTGTTTAAATTCCTATAGTCAACCTGAGTGTGGTCCATACCCAGAGACTTTCATCTGAAATAACTTGACGACAGAACGTGGGCATGAAATAAGTAGCATTTATTTATAAGTAGTTCTCTGGTTTGTAACATACACACCTGTTATACAGGGAATATTACAGAGGTACAGGTTTTTTTGTCTTTAGTTTTTTTTTTTTTTACGTTAGACTCTGTCATGTACATAGACTTTTATTTTCAAACAGGGAGATGGCGTCCTTTCAACCTTCACCAGTGTCACAACTGCTTCATATTTTCTCCCAAAACACACATGGCACAGTCACCAACCACATCAAATCACATTTATTCAGAATCAGCCAACCAGTCAAAGTCAAATAATCACATGATCAGGGAGCACGTCACGTACTGTAATTTCCCGTCACTCACATTCCCCTTCAATGGAATCACTGTAGTATTTCTCCATGCATACATGAGTATATAGTATATGGTACAAATATAGTATTTGAAATAAATACCTACTATCATTTGTATAGAGCAAAACGTTCAGACAATACCTGTTACTGTATATACTCTTCACAATACTATATATATGTACATGTATTTGGCTGGATTTACAGGGAATAGATAAAATATACATTACATTTAACCCCGTGTGAAACAGACTGGATTCCAGGTCTTTGGTGTTCAGCCAGTGATGCGACCTTGTTACATCTGGGTCACACCGGATTAAACACATGGGTGTGATTTATTTAGGACTCTATGCACAGGCACGGAAGACCAGATTCACCAGACACTCGTCGCTTGTCCCAGCACAGAGCAGATTATCCTTCAGCCAGCTGTTTTTTTTTTTTCTTCAATACTACACGGACTTAAATCCATGTTCTTGATGCTGTGCAGACAACTGTAGTAGAATCATTGATTAGGTTTAAAACCCTTTGTGCAGCTCCTGTGTCAATGCAGCCTCAGTGGTGAGAGCACATGCACTAAGTTGTGAAAAAATAAATAAAATTTATCTGGAAAAACTCTTGGGAAAAAAAATAAAATCAAGCAGAAGAAAAATAATTAAGATACTTTATATAACTATATAAAATATATAACCTATATGATATTTTTCATCAAGTCTCTTCTCGACATCCGTATTTATGAAGCATCCAGGAAAAGCTCTGCGTCTCAGTAAAATGAATTTAATTAGTTATTTAATTAATAACATATTTGAATATTAAATAGAATTTAATCGAATATTGAAACATATTTCAGTTCCTGATAAAAAAAATATATTTTTAGTCCCAATTGATTTTAATGTTATGTTTAGTGACCTTTGCAAAACTCTAAACATCATTGGACTCTGGCCCATAGCAATATTGCAGCCTTCGACCCATGAACGATAACTTAAGTCACAGGAAGAACAAAAGGCGGCCTTTGAAGTATAGTCATATATAAATTATAACCAAGCTTTTTCCTCCAACAGAAATACTCATTCGAGATACTTTATAAATATGGATGTTGTATTTCAGTAGAATTCTGATTATGGTTCAAATGAAGCCATCTGTCTCAGTCAGCTCTCTGCTAAAATATAGTATTTTTATATTGCTTTTCAAAGTGGATAAAACAAAAAAATGCACCAATTACTCTGAAATAGACATGTATCATTTCAACGTTGATGAATTAATTAGTGAAAAATGATAACAAGTAAATCCGGTCACTCTGTCTTAGTATTTCTTTTCTCATACATTCAGAGACATGTTTCGTTTTTTGTTTTTGTTTTTATCTCCTGTGCTACAGCCACTGTGCCTCCATCAGTCCCGTGATCCAGGGTTTGTGAAGTTAAGACCTGCTACAGTTTCATGTTAAGATGAGCCTGACATTCATTCATTGTGCATTTCGTAGCAGTCGGTTGCATACATGATTGGATTGGACACAGGCAGGAAAACAAGGCGTACACTGTGTAGTATTCAGACTCAGAGGGAGGTCAGAGGTCGAATGTGGACGGCATCACAACATATTGTTGTTTCAGTACAGAACCAACCAGTGCAGGCAGAGACCATGTTATCAACATGCAACACTGTCACTACAATCTCCTCATGTGAAGACTTTCATTAGTCTGTTTATTTATTGCATATAAAATTAATACGTTCTTATGTTTCCCTTGGGGATTTTTCTGTTTCCAACTAAACTATTTATTTAATATTTCCCATATTGGAACAGCCAGGTCAGCTATGAAAAATATATTTCTGTTTATATGGACAGTGGTATTTGCCCAAGTGCTTTTAGAGCAGCCAAGGGATAAAAGCACAGCTTTTATAAACATAAAGGCTTTATTTAGGAAGCTGGTGTTATTGTACTTTGCAGACAGAAACAAAAGTAATTTACTCAGGTAAAAATGTACCAAAGTAAAATTAATCAAACCCGTGAATATTTGAATGTTAATTGTTGATTAAAAAAAATCAATACAGCTTACTACATACTGTAGAATATCGATGAGGTTTGAATGTTAATTGTTGATTAAAAAAATCAATACAGCTTACTACACATAAGATATCGTGAAATAAAATACTGTATCACGATAATTCACTGGGTTGATATTTTCTTACACCCCTAATTTGGACTATTACAAGTGTGTTTTTGTTTTTGCTTTATTTTAATTTAAGGGTATTTCTATAGTTGTTTCTAATCTTTAGTTCCCTTCACAGACTTCCTATTGGAGTTTACTTTTACTGCAGGTCTGTCAGTATCATCAGTTTGCACCTGGATGTTGTTATGTTGACAGACAAAACAACAAGCGTGATGCAAATCTCTTTCAATATCTACTCACCCTTCAGACGTTTCCATTTCAGGATAAACAGACATCTCTACAGTATTAGACTCCAACCTCATGTCTCACTGTGGGTCAGTGCCCTTTGGGTGACCCTTAATTCTTTGAACACATAGTTTTACATCATCTGATTGAAGGATATGTTTGTTTTACGAATCATTTTTCTACAAGATTTCTTCGACACTACGACGCTGTAAATGAATGCCATCGATTGGTGCTGTGGCTCAATAATTACAGCAGTAGTTAAAGGTCGTAATAATTTTGACCAAATACTTTTGTGTTTTTACCCCCAACATTTAGAATTATTTAGCTTCCTAAATAAAGCCAATACATTTTCAAATGCTGCGGTAAATGTCCGTGCCATTAATTTTGTAAATAATGGAACTCCTACTCTTATAACTTGATTTATATTTTATACTCTTCATACTCTTCCTATATACATTTCTCTTCCGGGACACCAGTATTCTAGAGGACTTTTAACTGTATACAAAAACAATTTAATAAAAGTGCTGTTAAAAAATACATTTTTTAATTTTAGGTTTGTATTTGATTATTATCTGTTAGATTAACATTGTATTGTAGATATAGATTTATATACTATGATCTTAATGATGGCTTCATGTCCAAATATCAAAAGTGACCATGGCAATGAATGTTATAGGCATTTAATATCACTCTGAAAGGTAGATCATGTGCTTCGTTTCCCACTGAACACATTTAGCTTGACACTAGGAGGCAGCATTGGCTGCTCCACATATATACATATTTTATTTAAATTTATATATTCTGCTGTGATGTGGTCTGACGTGACCACCTGACTGAGTGTTGGATGCAGCATTCTGGGATGGTTTTGGCAGAGATGTGGAAGAAACACATGGACGTACAGTAAACTGGTGGAGGGAAAACGCCCCTGTCACAGAGGAATGAGTGTAAACAGTGAACAGATCAGAGTTGGTCCCTTAGGCTGCCATTACTGTGTCTCTGTGGTCGATTTTCCACCTCACGTCTGACTTGAAATGGAAGAGTTGAAGCTGAAAATAGTCTAAGTGTGAAAGTGAGTCGACCTGGATCAGAGGAGGTCTGGTCTAGATGGAGTCTCCGATATTTGAGTCTTCAGAAGTTCTATTATGTCCTGATGGGCGGCTCCTTCAGCCACTGACAGAGCTGTCTGGCCATTCTGAGGGAAAACAGAGAAATACTTTTCAATAATTTAGACGATGCAGTGGCAGCTTATGTCCTGACGGAGGCACTGTTGTGTTGAAGACCATTGTTGTTTATACAATTAGGTTCATGCCTAGCCAAATCTTTGTAAAACTTCTGCCTCGAGCCAATGCTGTCATGTAAGACAGACATTTAATCTCAGTGGAACACAAATATCTCAAGAGTGTAAATTATTTTCTATTTTAATCTTTTTAAGTGGAAATGACAGAGAATACTTTCCTCAGTAACTTTCCTGCAGTAAATTGTACTCATGTATTACCTTTATTTTCTTTTTTATTTTCTTTTTTTTTTCATTTATGCCACATATTGTAGGACAGACTCAGAGGGTTATCAGAGGGTAATTTTTTTTTCTTTTAATAAAATAAAAAAGCAAAAAGTCCAAAAAGAAGAGAATTCACTTAAATAGTTCAGTGAGCAGCAGGGTTTGTGCTTTCTCAACTCCACTGGCAGAAAAAAAAAAAGTGTCAATACGGCCATTCCCTAAATCAGTCTGCACCAACGAACTAACAATCTCAACCAATCAATAACCCACTTGGCTGAACAATCATTTCACCGTGTGAGGGCCAGCTACCAGCCACTCTGTGTGGCTGTTCCTGTAGTGACTGCCTAAACCTGAACAGAGGGGCAGCCTAATATATACTGACACATTTTATAACCTATGTGGGTTGGTTTCATGTAGTACAACCTGCAGAAGGTCCCTAAGGTTAGTGGTGGTGTAGTGATTATAAATGTGGACGGAATCAGCCATGTAAAATACCAGAGTTTTAATTGCATAATTAAACAAAAATGCATTGAAAACTGTGGGTAAAAGTCGATTAATGTTGTTTAAAAATAAACTCAAAACTAAAATTATATTATTATTAGAATATTAAAAGTACAAAAAGCTGAAATTAGCCAATCCCAGTTAGCTAATTTAACAAAGACTTTAGCAACATGAAACCTGTTCAATGTGAATGAATGTGCAGTATTCAAATGTTTATTTCAGTAATCTCAGAGAAGAAGATCTGATAGACCTTTTTAACCTTTTTAACTACGTCAGGTACCTTCTAATACAGAGCTTAGGCCAAGTACTAAACCTGTCTCTCGGTGCTGAAGCGTCGTCATATTTTATAGCAGTGTAAAGTCATTTTAACTTGACTCTCTACCTTGTCTGTCAGGCTCGTATCACAGCGACCTGACTCCAGCAGCAGACGAGCGATGTGTGTGTGTCCGTGTTCACATGCACACATCAGGGCTGTAGATCCCTCACGGTCCTGGGCATTTACATCTGCGTTGCAGCTCAGGAGCAGCTTCACCATGGCAACACGGCCGTGGCTTACTGCCAGCATCAGCGCCGTCTGGGATGCCTGGAGAAAAAAAAAGTGAGAAACAGAATTAGCTGTGAGAAATGGCAGACCTGCTGCAATAATATATATATGTGTGTGTGTGTGTGTGTGTGTGTGTTGTATACATATTGGCCATTAGATATGATAAGTGGAATACAAGGATATAGGCCACAAGGTCAACTATGTAGCACCAGTTCCATGAGATAGGGGGCAGCAGTGCACAGTATGCCTGCCCTACTAGAAAGCACAGCGTATTTAAGAGCCTCTGTCTTTTTCAGCTGTGTACAGTCTACAATTTCCATCAAGTAGGTTTAACAAGATTTAATTAAATATTTGGAATGTAATTATCCCACTTATATGATATTCCCTAATACTGTAAATGCAACATTCTTTCATTTGGTAGCCTAAGCTCTTGAAATACTTTTATTAAGATAATATTAAAAGCTTTGTGATGTGAATGACCTGTCTGGAGCGAGCATTGACGTCCCCCAGTCTCAGAAGTTGCTGCGCCACCTCCAGGTCATCAGGTGTCTCAGCAGCTGTTAGTGCAGCCAGCATCACAGGAGTATAACCTGCCTTGTTGACATTGTCTGTTTCACACAGGCCTGAAATGACACACACACAAACAAGCAAACAAACACAACACAAACACACACTTGTGTTTTTTCTTTTGTTGCCAAATGGATCCATTTCCTTCCTGCGTGATTCCGTATGTTCATTTGCGGTCACAGTTGATGAATTTTGTTTCTCACCAGTGTCCAGGAGCAGCTTGACCACAGGGAAGTTTGAATGTGACACGCTGTAGTGCAAGGCCATGTTCCCGTTACCATCTGTCAGGTTGACCACGTACGGCAGTAGAGTGGGCGTGGTCATTCCCACTTGCCGCAGATAGATCCGGACAGTGTCAGCCTGTGAGTCTTTCTGACTGGAGACTTTGAACCACTCCTGGTAGAGCACCACTAGAACCTGACGCTGGAGCAGATTAAAGAGTACAACGCTGTCATGTAAGACTTGTTTCTCGGATGTTGTCAGCTGAAGGAAATGCACTGAAGCTGGATTACTACTTGTCAACGTTGGCCATAAATATTACAACGTCAGTAAATGGTGTAGACAGAGAAAGTGCAGTGATTTCCTCTCACCATTTCTTTATCTGGAGATGAAACCTCTTCCATACGGTCCCTCACATAGAGACAGGCATCGATGAATCCCTTATCAACTTTATCCCTGAAAAAAAAACATGGATATAGAGTAGGGTACTGTTATGATATGACAACACTGTTATTGCCACAGTTTGTTTCATTCCAAACTTTTAGATCTCAGAATCCAATCATTTCACAAAAATTCTACAATTCTACAAATGCAAACATCAATACATAAAAAAAAACAGTTCAACAGACTATGTAAGCAAAGGACCAGCAGGCTGTAAAATGGTAGCTACTAAATATCCTGCCAGGGGTCTCATCTTCTCTTTGGCCCCTTGGCCCTCAGTGCTTGTACAGTTATAGTGTATATAAATAACAATCACTCAGTGACAGGTAACAACACATAACATCTGTTGGTTATTTGTTTATTTTCATTCTTGAGACTCAACAGACCAGAGGAGTTTGATTAAACAGCTGTTTGTCACAGTGCCTACCACAGTTTTATTACACATCCTAGAATGAAACCTACAACTTTCCAGCTGAAGGTAACAGTTTTATCTACCGTTCAATCATAACAACTGCTAGTTGGCGTTTTAAACCTACATAAAACTACTAATTTGTATTAGGGTTATTTGCAAATGTTGTCTTTTTTCTGCTACTGTTATAAGGAAATTTAGTCCTCATTTGGTTTTAGTATCATTTCTGAACTAAACGGCTATAGTAAATTTTTATAAGACAACATTGGGCAAACAGTCCCTCCGTGCATGAATTTATGTATGAATTTATTCAAATCTAAATGAGTCGCCTCATTGAACATTTAAAACTAATTTCTTTGCTGGTGTAGAAGTGATCCATGTTCTTGACAAATAGACAATTATATACAGAAATTACTTCATGTATTTGTTTGATGTATTGGTGGTACTACAGTTTATAGTATGTCACCACTGACCTCAAATTAACCTGAAATACGAGTCCTAAGAGTAGTTCCCATTAACTGAGTCATTTGTCAGCCTTATATCCACTTCAGTGAACTCACTTAGCTGTAGTTGTTGGCTCTGGAGCTGTAGTTAAGTTAATGAGGAGGTTCACATGGGTGATGTTGTGGACCCTGGTGTCTGTGTCCACAGAACGACAGTGTAACCACTTAATGCAGTATAATTCTAGACTCACTGTTCGTCCTGATCCTCCTGACTGTACTCCGGGTCCATCAGACCTCGTTCAACCACCATCTCCTCGGCCGCAGCACCTCCTTCTTCTGTTGACACCTCCTGGACCTTTTCCTGGTCCTGCACTTCATCTGTCGTCCCTGCTGCAGGAGTCTCCTGCACCTTCTCCACCTCTGGCTCTGAGCTGTCTTCTTCCTCCACGTCCACCTTTGGCTTCTCATCCCCACTCGACTCTTCGCTAGAAGTGGACTCATAGCTGCTGGAGGAAACAAATAAATGAGAGAAAACTGAATTATTTGACTCACATGTGGGCATATCTCTAAACAACCAGTTTGCAAAAGAACAACTGCAAATTTCTTGTTGTCCTAAAACGTGACAAAATGTAGTTGGCACAAAATGTCTAATAGTACAAAAGCTACCATACTTTTACTAAGTGTATCTCTCTCTTTCCCCACATGCCAAGCATTAGATGATAAATTCCTTCAATAACCAGACTCCTCTTCTCTGGAAACAGTTCCCTGTGTGAGTTCAGAAGGCAAACCCTCTCTGTGCACTTTAACTTTAATTTAAATCCTTCCTTTTTGATAAAGCTTATAATATTTAATAATAATGGTACTGTGCTCCATAACTCCTTCTGAACTCCCATGGTGCACGGAGTTCATAGCATTAACCTTGTTCTTTCTGGCACTCTCTGAGGGGGAGGCTTCTCTCTAGATCCTTTATTGAGTTCTGCTTTTCCGTAAAGCAAATTTGTCATTGTAACTTTATTTGGTCTCGATTTCTAACTCATCTTCATTTCTTTTCTCTTCATTCTCTTTTTTTCACTAACCTATCCTCACTCATTCTGTGCTGTCTAACTCAACAGCATGAGCATGATTCTCACTGTTTCTTTCATTTCCCCAAATTCCCCCAAATCTTTGGTCCATTTATTTATTAAGTGTTCCTTAAAATAACTCCGGTGCTGCAGAAAAAATGATTCATTGTATTATGACATCTAATTCCATTTATTTTAAAAGTGCTCACACACACACACACAGAAACACACACCACACTCAAACAAGGAAACACCCGATCACGAGTAGCATTCAGGGGCCAAAACATTCCCTGGATTCCAATGTCGCTCAGGGGAGAACAAAGATACGAGGTCAGACCGTCCAAAGGCAAAAAAAATAAAAAATACAAACAGCAGTTCCAACTTCCTGTTGTGAACAGAAGCCTAAAGATAGCCAGAGAAAATAATGTTAAAAATAACATGAGTTATTTCCAACCTGATAAATAACCCACATGAATTCTGGTTGGATATGTGTCACTGGCGCAAAACGGAAAAATGATATATATACAGGAGTTGAACAGGAAAAAAATGGATGTAGACTCTCCTAGGAGAGCGTTGCACCAGCAGCTCTGATAATGTGATATTTATTCTGGAACGAGGCTATTGTTGGAGTTCATTTCAAAAACACAGAGGGAGGAAAAGACCTCACTGTAGTGAAACACCGAAAAAACAACGTACATGTGAGGAGGTCAGAGGAGATTCAGAAGGAACACAAGGATAGAGAATTTTTTTTGGGGGTGGGAGGCTGCAATAAGATTTACCAAGACAAATATGACATTGGATTTAAGCTGGTAAACAGATGGACATTTTAATATGATTAATCACATAGTACCTGTGGATTAATCATGATAATTTAGATGAACCAATATTCCTATAAATGACAAATAACTCTTTTTCCATTATGTTGCTGTAGGACACCTGTTTTTATTTGTGATCAAATCTAAATTCCATTTCCATTGTCAATATGTCAAGAAAGATCTTCTACATACCTTAAGTCTAACAGGATGATCATTGCTGTTAGTTATATTTGCAGGAGATACTTTTAGATTGATGCTTCAAAATGCAAATCTCACCTTATCCTGCTGATAAGGCCGTCCCAACTCTACTTTCTGTGTAAATGAAGTGTGCCTCTTCCATGGATGGAATGTTTTAGTGTCTGTGGATTGTGGCTATAAATATTCAGATTGACTGGTAGCTTTTGACAGTGCTGCACACGATGTACCCTCTACCAGAAAACTAATTATCCAGGTAGTATTCAGAGAGAAATCTAGCCTGTCTGTTTTATTGAAAACTACTTCCAGGAGTGATTCTTTGCAGAAGCAAGAAGAAAATTGTAGATGTTTTGGAAAACTAATAATCTGAATCCACAATATTTTACATCACAAAAATGAAAGGGTGCGTGCAGAAATATTGCAGCACTCCAACATTTGAACATTGCGAATAGAGTTAAAAACAATGATTTACCCTCCGTTCACCCCAACAAACTTCAGGTTTTTCTTGGCTCCCTTGTTCCCTTGCTTGTCAGCAACTCCGTTTTTCTTCATAATAGATTTAAGGCCTGTTGAAAAGAAGGGCAAAGAAAGAGAGAAGGATAAATATGTGAAAGAAACAAGAGCAAAGGTCATTGTGTGCATACAGAAAATCAATATAAACTATCAATTTTCTTATTTTCACAACTCTGGACGAGATCCAAGAAATATGTTTACAGAAACTGTGAGGGGTTATTTTTATTTTTTCAAAGAAAGACTCATCTGGGTCTGAGTTCCTCTTTGACATAAATATTCCTCTTCTAGGGAATTCACGGCCATAGAACATGAAGAACATTCTCATGACTAAGTAGAAAAAAGAGGGGCCACACTGAGCTGTGACTAAATATTTGGGGAAAATGTAATAATAATGTAAATCACAGGATCTAAATTCTGTAGTTACAGAAACAACATCCATTAATGTCAACAATACTGGAGCTAATGTGAAACTGAATGTCTCTGCCATTTATACTGTAAGTTATGAGGCTTTCAGACCTTTACAAAGCTTTGGATTAATCACGAATAATCATGATGAAATGAGGGCACAGAGCACGTGTTTTCTGTATATTACTGCAACAGAAATACATTTCATCATCTTGTTTTAGTCCCACACTATGTTCTGAGTTTTCCTTTAATTAGACAGGAAGGCCTTCAGTGACAAAAGGCAACAATAAGTGAAATGATTGACTATACAGTGAGCATTAGTAGAGTTAATCAGTTTAGTCTTCACAAAATAATTCACATGATTAATGTAGTGATTTTGACAGCCCTGGTATTTACAATTATAACATCTGAGGTAGAACTATATTACTAGTAATAATAATAGTATATGTAGAGCATATGGTCATATGGCACAGCACCCCTCAGCCCCTAGAGCATATGGTCATATGGCACAGCACTCCCCACCTCCCCACCCCTCGACCCCATGTTGTTTTTAATGCAGTTAAATGAATAAAGTCCACAGTCAGGTGAGGCTGTAGATCATCATGTATCTGTCTCTGTTTGTCTCTATATCAGTGCACACCTGTGAAGGTGATGGATCTTAGTGACACCATACGACCTTGACACCAGAGAGTCCACTTATATATGTAACTGCACAATAATGCTCTCCTTTGCTGACTCCTGTTGGCCACCTGCCCAGAGAGGTTGTCCAAATCATGCTTGGCAGCAGGGGTTCTATCATGTTTTATTCTGGGACATTAGTGCATGGCTTTAATCCAAAAAGAAACAGAAAATCAGAGGCTAAAAAGGTCGCAGGGCCCACCGTCGAAGAGCAAGTCTGATTACTGCACACTCCTGGATTTCTAATACATAAAACACTGGTATGATTTAAAACTCACTTATTTTGTCAGAGACAGGTTCACTCATCCATAGAGAATGTTTGGTCTGTGAGCTCTCAGCGGGTTTGTACTGGTTTATGTTTCTCATGTAAAGGTTGTTCTGAGGTCAAACCCAGGCTGGGAATCTGAGATGATGAAGATTACGATCGTCTTCCCAAAGAAAGGCAAAATCCTCTTATGAGAATACACACATAGACAGAGTAGAGACACTTTCACACAGAGCACTCTATAGTACTCCTGTATAATTTACTCCCAACAATGAACTTAAAATGAACCCAGAACATGAAATATGTGTGTGATAGCAGAGTGATTCAGCTCCTAGGCCTGAAACTGAGCAGCAAGTTGTTAAGGGATGAAAAGAAGGCCTCGACCGTCTGATGTGTGTGTGTTTTTATTCTCTCCACTTCTGTATGCACTAAGTCATAAAACAGAAAGTGTGTGTGTGTGTATGTGTGTGAGCCTACATATGTATTCATTGCAGTATGCTCATGAGGTCATCATCCCAGTTGGTTATCAGTAATGCTTATGTTTTTGAAATCTTGGCAGTAGTTATAACATGTTCTGTACAGTACTATGTGCATACATGTACTGTCACTGCAGTAGGTCAAAGAAATACTTCAACAGATACTTGTGCATCTGTGTTGAACAACATGTCTCTTACTATACTTCTATTTATTTCTGTATCAATAGATCATCTGTGTTGAACAACATGTCTCTTACGCCATTTATTTCTGTATCATTAGACATACTTTAGAATGAGATGTTAAGTTGAATTTGTTAATAAAAAATATACTTTAGACTTATGGATCCACAACAATCTCCCTTTAGTCATATTAACCTACTGTAGCAGCTAAAAAAAACGTCTATTCGAGTGCACAAGGCAGTGAGTTATCCTGTGGAAACTTAGAGATGAAACTGTAGTGAAAAAAAAGACAGAATCATATTTATATAGGGAAAGAAAATCAATATTCCCAGCCTGTGTATGATGAATACATTTGTAACATCATTGTATTGTATTTATAATTAATGCAAAAGCAAGTACACACACAGCTGCACAATGTCAAATTAACCTCTGCTACATCACTGTTGACACAGGCTCACTGCTGCTGGTGAAAGACAAGGCCATTCAGTGTTATTATTATTATTATTGTTATTATTATTATCTTTTTGTTTGTAGACTATTATTGGTTGAAAGCCCATTGATAGCAGTTTTCAGGGATACAATTTAAAAACAAACGTTGAAACTTTCAGTGAAAAGACAAAGACCTGTTTCAGGTAGAACCGTTCGTGTTCACTTTATCAGGAACAATCTGTAAAAGCGTATAAAAGAGCTGCTGGTATGCAAGGCTAAGAGCTCCAACACAGAAGCTCTTCACAAGTTAATATTACACTTCAACATTCCATTAATCTGTCAAAACACTCTGTCAGTGTTTGACTGCTCCTGTAGTTACCGTTCAAGGATACTGAGTTTTGCATGTATGAATAATTCATTAGACGTCTGTGGACGGTCATTGTGTAAACTAATTAAGTGGCGTAGAAAACAGGTTATGTGCATGTGTAATCTCATTGATTAGCAAAATGGATTAAATGTGTTCCAGTTATTTAGAGATGTGGAGGACACACACACACACACAACGTAAACGCTGTGCTTACCTTGTTCTTGCTGTTTGCCAGCAGCAGCTTTTTGGCCTGGTGAGTAGAAAGCGGAGAGGACACTGAGGGAGCTGACCAGTTGACTCTGAATGGAGCTCATTTTGGAAGGAGCAGGTTTCCCCGCTGCTTTCACCGTTGTTGCTACAGGAGCTGCTTTCCCCGTAGTCTTGGCTGCTGCTCCCTTCCCTGCCTCTGTTCTTTTGCCTGCCACCTGTCTCTGTGTGCTGGGCACCTCCTGCTGAGGGGCCGTCTGTTGCCCTCCGGAGCTGCTGCCCAGCTGTGCCCACTGCTCACCTAGAAGCCCCGTTAACCGTGTTACGACTTGGCCTAGAGCTGCAGGAGAGGTGGGTGACTCACTGGATCCTCTGCGGAGAGGCTGAGCCTCACCAGAGTCTTTGCGTGCGGCAGCCTGGGCTTCGCTCGAACCACGTCGGTGTGCTGTTTCAGTGGAGCTCCGGCGCTCAGTGGCCTCTTTTTTATGTGGCTGTGTCTCACCTGAACTTCTGCGTGAGACCTGGGTTTGCACATCGCTTGACCCTTGACGAATTGGACGGCTTGAGGAGTCGATCACTCTGCGGCTAGAAGATTGGGATGCTTTCTGTGGTGCTTTGAATTCTTTTGAGTCCCGGCGAGCAGAGGTTTGGGAATGAGACTGGGCTTGAATTGTTTTGGGACGGGCGTGGACTGGCCTGGAGCCAGGAGTTGAACCTTTAGTCTCAGCCTGAGGTTGTGATTTTTCCTCTGCTGTTTTTTTCAGTTGGGGTTTGTCCTCAGCCGGAGTCACTGATGGAGGTTTTGCCTGCTCTTCCACAGGCGGTGTTGGGGTTTGAGCCTTATGTTGAGCCTGCCTTTGTATTTGCTCCTGAGGCTGTGGCTCGGTTTGAGGCTGTTGGGCCTGAGCTTCACTGGATCCTTTTAGTGGACACACAGGTTCAGTCTGAGGTTGAGGTTGAGGAGGTGACGGCTGTACCTGCTCCGCAGAAGCTTTCCGTCCTCTCTGAGGTCTGACAGGAGCGGCTGTCTTTTCTGCTTCATTCTCTACAGCACTAATTACAACAATGTCTGTGTTTATACTTTCTGTGACTGTTGAACACACACTTTCCTCTTTTATTATTTTCTTCTTCTCTGTTTTTTCTACCACAGTCTGTTTTGTTCCAATTTTTTCCATCACTTCACTCTCTGGGTGTATCATTTCTTTTGTATCCAGGTCGTTTTGTGCAGATTTGACTTCATTTAAAGATTCTTTATCTTCTTCTTTTGCATCAATTAAACCTTTCTCTTTATCCTGTCTCACTGTTTCTGAAGGTGCAGCTTCTTTATTTACACTTTCTGGAACGCCAGCAGTAGTTATTGGGACGACATCTAGCACCAGTTTTTGACCATCTCTTTGAATTCTTTCTTTTACCTTTTTGTCTTCCACTTTTTCATCACCCACAGCCTTACTCTCCTCCACTCTGTCACTGATAATACCTTCAGCGCCCTCTACTCTTTCCATGCTTACACTCTCTCC